AAACCATCACTGTACATTTCTGGTGGTCCTTGTGGCGTTTTTTCTTGCAGTGGTTAGCCTGGTCCCAGGAGGCCTATACACACCAGTAGTAGTCAGTGCCGGTTCTGGGGTTTCTGTAACAACTACTGGAGCGGGAGGTGCCTGCACTGGAGCTATTTTGTTTCACAACCTTTAGATTTCTCTACACCACCACCACCTCCACCTTCTTCCCAGGTACCTCCTGGGTCTTCTCTCTTTTCATTATCCTTATTCCTTTTCACTGATCTGCATGGCTTGCACTCTGAGTTCACTGTAATCAACCTCTTTTTGCTCAAATTCTTTCCACTTATTTTCATCCTTCGTCACGGCCTTTGCGGTGGCCTGGGCCGACGGTCCCTACAGTTACCTGGCCTGGCCCCTGCCACTCTGCCCATGGTGCTGGTCGCGGGGCTGCTCCACTCCTTCTTCTTCTCCCTCTTGGCGAAGAAGCTGTCCAAGCTGTGCTCCTCCATCTCGGCCATGCCTGCCGCCTCTTGGGCCCGGATGTGTGGGGCCCGCGGTGGGCGTGGCCTGCGGGCTAGGAGCTCCGGGGTCGCGGAGGCGTGAGCGGTGGGGCGGGCGACTCCCACCCCACACCTTGCGGGTGCTGAGCGGTGGTCCCGTCCTTCCTCGGGCAGGTGCCTGCCGCCTGAGCCTACTGGGGCTACCGCGCCAGCCTGCCTCCTTTTTTATTCTTTCTTTTTTTATGCTGTCTTGTTCACTACTTTCTTTCCTGTTAAATTTATTTACATTTTGCTTTTTATTAGCCTAATAAAATTCACTAGATTTTCTATAAAAATATTTTCCCCTTCTGACCTCAATTCTGTACCTTTACAATGTATGATACAAAACTGAGCTAATGTCTAAATTAAAAAGCATTACAGTACAAGACATATTGCCACTAGCCTCCCCCCAAATACTCTTTCTCACTTCAGTCACATTTATCTCGTCATTCTTGCCACTTTCTGAATCAGTTGTGGAACTCCTTTCTTGAGGGTCTTTAGGTGTGCTGTTGTAGCTGCCTCAATGTCCTGAAATGATTCAAAACATTTATCTTTCATGGTCATTGTGATTTTGAGGTAGAACCAGAAGTCATACTGTGCCAGAGCCAGTGAATAAGGTGGATGAAGACGCACTGTAATATTTTAAGAACTTGCTTTTCTGTGGGATCACACTTAACAACATTTACTGGATTTTTGATCAGACCTTGTTAAAACACTCATGACAGAGGGCTTCCAGAATGGCTTCAGAAAGTGTCGAGAACAATAGGATAAGCATGTTTGAAATGAAGGGAGTATTTGGAAGGTGATTCATGGTGATATGTCTTTTACTATAATAAATTTATATTGACCATAAGTCATATATACCATAGGGCTTATGTGGGAGTGCTGCTTCCTCATCTGCCCTGGAGTCTCAGAGTAGGAAGCAGGTGGGTGGTGGGGCAGGTGGCCTGAGCGAGGAGGGCTCTGCAGTCCACTTCCGGGAAGTTGGGTGAAAGAGCGAGAGGGGTTGGGCAGTCCCTCAGTCCCTCCTTCAAATACTCTTTCTCACTTCAGTCACATTTATTTCATCATTCTGCCATTCTTGGCTATTTCAGTTTTGCAGCTGACAGCCTGGACTGGGAAGGGTCTCCCCAGCAGAGGGGCAGATGGCAGGTTGGGAGGAGGGTTCAGTGCTTCTGTACCACTGGGGTCTCTCTCAACAGTCTACCGAGTCAGAACTCAGCTCCCTCCTGGTTTGTGAGGGATAAAGATCGCAGGGAATATTTTAAAGGTGCAATAACACTGTCCAGTTTTTTTGTCTTTTTCATTTTTTTCCTTCAGAAACAAGCATTCAGAAAACACTTAAATTTTTTCTACATTAGAAGACAACCTAGTGAGCTCCTCCTCTTAATAATGTCCAGATAAATTGACTTTCAAAGGATTGTACATATAAGAAAATATTGAATATTTTAGATCAACTGTCACATTTTAGAACCCCCAATATGTTCATAAATTCATGTTAACTATGTTTTATAGCTTAAGTATTTATCTGAACCTATTTAGAAATTACTTGAAACAGGCGAAAGATAAAAAGTATTACATGTCTGTTATAAAGGAAAGTAAAATATTAACTCCGTTAACACTGGCATCATTTTTGTGTTAGGCATGAAACATCATTCATGGCTTAGAGAACAGCTGGACGGTGATCCTGATGTCACTGTTGGTAACTCTGGTCCAGAGTTACCAGAGTAACTGGCTGATCCAGTTTCCTGGGGTGTCCTTGAAGAAAATCCGACCCGTGCTTCGTCATTGCCTCCCGGCTCCTCCTCCCAGTGTGGAAGGCAAAGGGGTGGAAATCAGGGTAAGATTAACTTTCTGACTCTCATAATTGAGGCTCCTGAGAGTCCAAGGTCCCTTTCAGGCTTTTGCTCACTTTCAGCTGTCCTGAGCTGGGGGCCGGGGTTGGGAGCAGCCGTCTCCTGGCAGAGCAAGCCCCTGCCTCGCACAGGGAGTTACTGGATTCATGTTTTCAGGTGTCAGGGCTCGTGACTTTATCTCTGTTTGCAGTCATGACAATGCAGTGGCGTAAAGAGAATGTATAGTTCAGTACCAGAAACTTACTGGAGCTTAAATAAAATTTTCTTTATCTTTTCATAAACTTTCAGTAATGTCTGTGGGTCTTGAGAAGGTCTTCTGGTAAGGAATTGGTGGTGCCGTAGGGCTTGGGGGACATTTCACGTCTACGTGGGGCTGTCCTTCAGTGGTCGGGGGCTCTCTGGATGCCTTCGTCCGCGGCTTGGACTGTGCCCCTTCCTTCCTGATAAAGAGAGCGATGTCCAGAGGGCAGGGCGCGCTCTGCTGGGGCTGCTCTGTAAGCTTTCACTTTAGACGGTGTGAGAGCGCGGAGCGGCTGCTCTGCTGCCGGGAGGGCCCGCTGGGACCCCACTGGCAGAGTCTCTGCAGAGGCTGCAGCCACTTGTGCCTCCTCTCTGCTTTCCTGGGTGCCTCCTGGGCCCCCAGCGTTGGAGCCAGAAGTAGGGCATGGGGCTCTGAGAGCAGCTTGGGACAGGTGCCAACTTCGAGGGTAAATCTGGGGTGCATTAGGGTTCATGAAGCCCTGAGCATTGCTAGCTGCTGTGTTTGGAGACTCTCAGAAGTCACATCCTTTCAAAGTTGGGAACAAAGAGAAGCAGGTAAGTTGGCTTTGAAAACACCAGTGGGCCAAGAGGAGGCAACCAGGATGCAGCTGGCAGGAGAGGAGGAGGAGAAGGAGGGAGAAGAAGAGGAGGAAGAAGAGGAAGAGGCTGAGAACGTGGTGGGGCTGGGGTCTGTGGGAGCAGGCAGCGTGAATAGTCTCGTTCTGGGAACATCTAAGATAACCTTAGTGAGGGCCAAACTTTTATTCATTTGTTTTAATGGTATTTCTTTAGCATTTACTAGGACCAAGGCCTGTTCTAATTACGTGTAGTCACTACAAATACAAATTCATGTCATCCTCATTACAGCTTGTCAGGGAGAAACTGATACTACGCAATGGTGCAGATGAGTGAACCTAGGCCGAGGTCGCACTGAGAGGCGGACCCTGGCGGGCAGCCCCGTATCAGTCTCTAGTGTTTGTCCTCGTGGAGACTGCAGGCTGGCTGCTCCTCCTTCCGAAGTAGGTGCTTTGGGGATCTTTTCTCCAGTCAGGGCTCATTTATCTTCTCCATGTGTCTGCCAATGCAGGGCCGTGTCCTGGGCCTGTAGCACGAAGGAACTGGGCTGGGATTCAGGATTAGGTGCAGAAGAGCACACAAGGAACAGGTCAGGAGCTGGGCATTTGTGGTAGGCACTGTATGCTTTCCAGGTGATAGCTGGTCACAATCAGGGAGTGGCTGGACAACACTCCCACAGGAGGTAACCTGTCTGCACAGCGGCAGGCCTGCGTCCGGGCCCTCTGTCCCAGAGATCACAGGTGGCGTGTGATAAAGCAGAGATGGAGGGGTGGCTTTTACCACAGGGGTCCAGGTGTGGAGGTAAGACAGGCCTGGTTTCCTGGGCAGACCGGGGCTGCGGTGTGGTTGCAGTGGGGTGAGAATGGAAGGACCTTTGTTGGCAATCCAGGTGGTTCCCTAACACCACTGTCGCCCCTGAAGAGCAAGAGGAGCCAGGTTCTGCTATTTGTAGGTGTCAGAGTTGCTGAGGACCCACCAGCCTCTTAGCAGACTTCGCCAACAGGAAATGCTTTGTGCCTGCAGGGAACTGACCTCAGCCCTGAGATCTGCGCTTTCCACGGGGGTGCCAGAGCCCTGGCCTGGATCCGCCTCCTGCCTCCTCCTGCCTCTCGGTCTGGGCCTGCCCCACTGTGTCTCTTCCAAGGTCTGAAGTAAAAAGTAGTGCAGTAAAAGACATGGAGGATCCCTGCAGCTGTTGCTCGCTGTCCCGTCTCCTGTCCCTGCTTCTCCTCGTCCAGCTCCTTACCTGGGCATCCACAGGTGAGTGCGTCCCTGTCTCTCTCCTGGGAGGGTGGCAACACTCTCGGTGAGGATCGGGTGAGATCTGTGGGATCTCTGACTCTAAAAAGATCCTGCTTTCCCCATCATTAATTTTAATGAAAAATTAAGACATTATGTGCTAAATCATAAAATAAGAGCATAGGATTTTTTTTTAAGAGCATAGGATCTTGACAATTGTCCAAAGATCAGTTTTTCTTTATTTAAGAAGCAAAGCATCAATAAATTATTAATATTTCCCCCTTATTTTTATTTCCTTGCTCATTGGTTTGTAAACATTCATTCACTCATGCATTCTGTTCCGAGATATTAATGGAATATTGTCAATGTGCTAGGCGCTAAACACATATTTGTTAGATAAAGAAATCAGACAGACTGTCCATTATTATAAAATTTACCCCCAAGAAGGAGACAGTGAAAAATAAATACAACAAACAAGCAGCGTGAAGGGAGACGAATGTGACGGGAAATGCAAGCAGGCAGGTGTGTGCGGGGAGGGGAGCACGCGATGGGTGTGCAGCAGCAGCAGCAGCAGCAGCCTGGGGTGAGGGGTCAGAGCAGATGGGAGCAGCCCCGAGGGGACAGCTGGGCCTTGAGAACCTCCCGGGAAAGCCGGTTCCTGCCGGTGGAGGCCGGCACAGAGCTGCGGTGTGCCGAGGGCAAGGCACAGGCAAGCACTGGCTGGGGCAGAGCTAGCCAGGGGGAGAGGCGGGGGCTGCAAAAAAGTGCTGGGGCGGGGGAAAGAGGGGTCGGCTTTGTTGGACTAAGGGGAAATTTCGTTGGGGGAATTGGGGAGCCGGAGGAGGGCTTTGAGCGGAGTGGGGACAGGGCTTCCTAGGGCCAGGCTTAGTAGAGACAGGCTTCGTTTATTTGTTAAAAGAATCACAGATGTGGGGGTTGGGACAGGACAGACAGGGGTCCTATCTACTGTTTGGTCCAGGACAGAGATGAGGGCGCTTGGGTCGAGGTACAGGGAGTGAGCAGAGGCCCTTCGGAGGCCCATTGCTGCTTGTCCACCGGACCTGGAGAGCTGAGGACATGGGTGGGGAGGAGGCGCCTCAGCATTCTTCTTGAACATGCAGTGGCAGGGGATCCTCTGAGTGATGGCGGCAGGCATTTCACACGTAGCCTCTGAGTCTGTGGTTGAATATGCGCATATATTTCAGTGGAGGGGAAAACAGGAACCAACACAATCAATTTAGGATTGGAAGTGGAGAATTTCTTGGAGGTGAGTATCGAAGGGTGCTTGCCAGTCTAGGTCTTGGTGTGCTCTGTGGCCGGTTTTTAGGTTTATTCTGACTCAGGCTAGGTTAGAGGCGGGCTTCTCAAAGTGTCACCCCTGGACCAACAGCATCCATACCCCTGGCATTTGAAGAGTAAAATAAACAATTAAACATTTTTGAGCCCACCCCAGGTCCACCTCCTCAGAAGCCTTTGGCACGTGGCCCAGTCATCTGTGTTTTACGAGGCCTCTTGTGAGGAAGTGCATGCTCAGCTTGGGGAACCACTGAGTTGGAGACTTATTTATGGAAGAACTGAGGTCAGGAGCACAGGCTGATGAAGGAGTTTCCTTGATATCATTTGTGAGCCACATCGTGATGGTCAGAAGATAATACTGCAGTTAGGTCATCACAGCTCAATCCATCAGACCTCAGGCGTCAGCTCATCCAGCCCCTGCCCCTAGCGTGCCCGGCTTTCCCACCTGCTTCTGTATGTTCTTTGACCTTTTGCCTATGTCTCTCCAGCTTCCTCACTCCTTTGTCTGTGTCCACAGAGGAGTTCCAGGTGATTGGGCCCTCAGAACCCATTGTGGCAGTGCTGGGTGGTGATGCCACACTGCGCTGCTCCGTGGTCCCAGCCATGAATGTGAAAAACATGGAGCTGAGGTGGTTCCGGACCACATTCACAGATTCCGTGTTCACCTATCGGAACCAGAGGGAGCAAAAGGAGGAGCAGATGGCTGAGTATGCAGGGCGGACCTCACTGGTGATGGACTTTCTTGACCACGGGGAGGCTGCCGTGAACATCCATGAGGTCCGGGTTTCTGACAATGGGATGTATAATTGCTTCTTCAAAATGGGAAGCTTCTTTGAAGAGACCAATTTGGAGCTGAAGGTGGCAGGTTGGTTACATGATCTCTACTGTACAGACCTGGGGAATACTGGTTTTGAGAGGAATGTCAGAGATTATTTAACTTCAACTGGCATTTTGTAAATGATGACTAGGTGCTTCATTCACTCATTCATTTAGTTGATACAAATACCGTGTATAGCATTCCTCAAATGTGTTAGGCCTTGTTCGGGGTACCAGGAGTATATCAGTGAAACAAAGATTCCAACTCTATAAATTTTATATTCCAGAGTAAGTGGTAGAATAATCATAATAAGTTAATTGGTAGAAGATATTAGAAGGTGACGAAGTGTTAAAACAATAGACCAAACAGAAAAATGTGCTGGGCAGAATGTACCATGGTACATAGGGGCCCAGGCAGGGCTTCGCTGACAGTCTGAGCCATGTTCAAAGGACGTAAGTATTTGGCCGTGTGGGTATCTGGGAACCTGAGTTTCATGCAAAGGAAGCACTATCATGAATCCTTTGAAACACTGTATTCTGTGTATGAGACCATCATGATTGGTGGAGAAGTGACACGAAGTGACAACACTGGAATAAGGAACAGTTCCTGGGTCAACACTGCCCACACACATCAGGACAAGCTGTTAGGAGTAGACACTAGAGGTGGCGCACGAGTTTGGCAGATGAGATCCCAAGGACCCCTGGGGTTCCATGGACCAGGAGGTGAAAGGCAGGGGCCGCGGGACGTGTTAGTGATGACTAATGGCAGTTAACCAAGCTGAGCGGGGCTGAGTGTGGGCCTGAGGGGTGCAGATAGTGGAGTCTGGGGAGCAGCACTGAGAAGGAAGTTAGAGAGGAAGATGGACCCTAGATCAGCAAAGGCTTTTCGTGCTGTGGTTTGGGGTTTGGATGCAGAGCTGAGGAAGTTAAATAGAGCAACGGTGAGGATGCTCATGTTGGCAGCTCTGAGGATGGTGACTGGAAGGTGAGCCAGGAGGAGATGTGGAGGGCGGTGAAGAGCTGGAGAGGAAGACTGTCTCCTTCAACCAGTGGTGGGGTGGGGTGGGGTGGGAGACGAGGGTTTAGACACAGAGGTTTTGAAAGTAGCCTCATCACTGGGCATGGTCCAAGGAGGTCCCCAAAGTAGACACGGGGAACTGTGAGTCACCTCAGCCATGGGGCAGATTGCCGGTTTGCTGACTTCCATCATGGAAAGAGAACTTTTAGGAAGTGTAGGGAGAAGCATAATGAGATTCCTTAGGCATCCCCCTAGGGTGGGGTTGGTAGGAGGGAGAGCAATTTAGAGGTGCAATGCACAGGCCCAGATCCCCATTTAAGGGTTTATTGTTTTTAAGGCCCTTAGAGATTTTTCCTGGAAGAGAAAAAACCTTGAATAACTTTTGTGTCCTGAAGCTTCAACTTTTCTTAAAGAGTGCAATTTTAAAATTACAATTTTTATTGTCTCCTTCCTATTTATATTTATTTCTTCCATCCTACCTCAGACTTAACTGGTAGATTTAAGGCAGAATTTGGAGAGGGAAAAGGGAAATGCAGAGACTCCTCGGGTTTTGTTTTGGCTATTTGTTTTGTAGTGGCAGGAATATTGGTAATTATGTGTCAGTTATCTCATAATGATGTGTAACAAATAGCCACTATCTCAGTGGCTATATTAGTCACTTTCCTGATGCTAGGACAAAATACCTGAGATGCTGAAGTTAAAGGAGGAGAGACTTGTTTTGGTTCATGGTTTCAGATCCTTTAGTCTTTGGTTGGCTGACTACAAGGCAGAAACAGCATTGTGGAAGGGCATGGCAGAAGAACGCAGGTCAAACCATGACAACCAGGAAAGAGAGAGGGAAGTGAGATCCTGGGGACAAGAATATGCCTTTCCACATCTTGTCCCAGTGACCCACCACTTCTGTCCAGGCCCTACCTCCGAATAGCACATCCAGCTCTGAACTCACCACTGGATTAACTTACTGATGGATACAGTGCCCCATGATACAATCACCTTCAGAAGGCCCCACCTCTGAATGCATGAGACTTTGGAGGAACATTTTTGATCTAAATTGTAACAGTGGCCTGTGGCAATAAATGTTGAATTAAGGTGGTAAGGGAATATAACTAATCTGGCCAGATTTGGCTAATCTCACCTGGATTTAGTGTATCTCTGTTTTGTTTTTGAAGAAATATTTAAAAACAGCCTTTTCCCACCCCAGAAATCCTCTTCAGGAAGATAGTAAAGAAAGTACCTCTATTAATTGAATAAGGATCAAACCAGAATGTGATATATGTTATAGGCAGTCTACTGAGAGATTGCACAATAAACTAGAGAGAAATCTCACTTTTTTTTTTTTGCATCCAAGCATACATAACCTATTTCTTACATTTTAAAAAGATAAACAGTATCCTTAAGTAGGATAAGTTGAAGCATAATTTCTCACTCATAACTCATCCTCCATTTACTTGGTAATTGGAGTGACCATCTACGTTATCTAGTAGGCTACGTTTAGTATGAAACAAACTTGTTATATCTTTGTGACAGGAAGTAACTTTGCAACTGCTCTCCCACAGAAAGGGGGCAAAGGGCTGTCATCTCCCTTGATGCTTTACATTTCTAAGTGATGGTTTCCAGGTCCATGAGGAAGATGTTTCTGGGTCATAATATGGACAAAACACAGCTCCAGTTTCAAAATTAATATGAACATTTCAAGGAGGTGTGAAGGAATTTATTTGTAATTGTAACTTTGCCAAGTTAGCACTGTAAAAACAAGGGAAGGACAAGAATCTTCTCTTATTTTCAACACAGAGAATGTTTTTAATGTTGATTTGTACGCTTAGCTGAAAAGATGACCGTATGGAGTTTGACTGGATTTGTTCACATTTCTGGTGGTCAGTTGGCTGTTGGCTAATCTATCACAGCTTTAGCTAGAACCCTGTGCTGACCAGGCATTATTCCACTAAGTGTCTTTCTCCAGTGGGAAGCACAAGCTTTTCCTCACTACAGAAATGGCAGAGGGAAGATTCAGCTGCCGATCCAGCCTCTTTATGAGTCACATTAGCTAATGTCTCATTGGCCAAATTGAGTCACATGACTGAGATCTAAGGCAGACTATAAAGGCAATCAAAAGCATGTGAAAGAGGAGGAGTTGGATGTTAAAAATGGTGAAGAATTTGTTATGTTTCTATACTAAGTTTATCACACATAGGACAAAATTATCAAGTTAGTTGTAGAATTTGAAGCTTAAAATGTATATGAGGAAACTTGGTAGAGATAATTGATAGGGACATGGATATAATTGAAGAGAAGATGTCACTGAATATAATTTTGGAAGTGACTTACAAAGACTGACAGTAGGTATGGAAGCAGATGTCCCAGGAGAATGTGGGAGGTGAGATGTCAGAAAGTTCATGGATGGAGCTCTGGAACCAAATTGCTGTTTCCTCGGGACTTGTGGTTGGGGCAAAGAGGCCCCTTGTCCTCTGCGTCCCTCTAGTGATCCCTGTTCTCCTTCTCTCTGTTCTCTGTGGCACTACCTCTGCCTGATTCTTCAGGGGTACCCTTCCACTAGAACCCCAGAAAGCGTGAACAGAGAGGCTTTCCTTGGAGTGTTGTAACTTGTGGACACTTCTGGGGTATCTGGCGCATGGTGGTCTCCAGGCTACCCACAGCTTCCCTCTTGCAGGGGTGGGCTCTGCCCCTCAGGTGCACGTTGAGGGTCCAGAAGAAGATGGAGTCCGTGTGGTATGCAGGGCCTCTGGGTGGTTCCCAAAGCCCCAGGTTCAGTGGAGAGACGTCAGTGGAAAGAAGATCTTGGCATTCTCTGAGGCCCACATGCAAGATGCCGATGAGCTATTCAGTGTGGAGGCCACTCTGGTGGTGAGAGACCGCTCCATGGGGAATGTGACCTGCTCCATCCTCAACCCTGTCCTGGGCCAAAAGAAGGCCATGGCCATTTTTATTCCAGGTCAGTGCTGCTCCCTGCCCCCAGCAGATCTGGGGAGAGGCTGTGACACCCAAGTGTGCTGGGCTGGCTGTCCTGGGCTGTGCCCCTGACTGGGTCTCTGTCTGGGCCACAGAGCCCTTCTTCCCACAGGCCTCTCCCTGGAAGCCAGCTTTTGCTGTGAGCCTGACCGTGATGGGGCTCCTACTCTTTGGGGCTGTGTATTTTCTCCATAGAGAACATTCTGAAAAGCTGCAGGTACAGCAGGAAGAGAAGAATCTGAAGTTGGCTAAGGAGGAGGATAAGATAACAAAGGAGCAGGCGCAGAAGGTGAACGGTAAGACAAGCTGGGCAAGGCTGGAGCCGGGTCTGACTGGGACAAGGTGACAGGGCCAGGGTCGGTGGATCTGGCTCCCCAGGGACCTGGGCCCGGAGAGTGTGCCCAAGGTCTCTGGGGACCTTGGAGAGGTGTGGAGAGGACATCTGGAAGTGTGGGGGCTTGTGTGGGTGTGGTGGTGAAACTGTTAGGAAACAAAGTTTTTTTTTTTCTTTCTGGTGGGTTTTTCAGATACACAGTCTTTCTTTCCCTTAGTAGTGGGAGTTTATGTTCTTTCTCACACTCTTTCAGATGAACTCCAGGCAGAACTTGGTAAGTCCTGCTTTCCCTCGTGAACTCTGTGTGTTCCTTAGTAGCAGATATTCTGGTTCGCACCTATCTACTCATTATGTGTTGCTTTTCAGGTCAGAGGAAGGCAGCCTACCTGGCTGGTAAGTGACTCCCCTAATGTCCCTGGGCTCCACATCCCACCTGTGTGCAGGTAGCCCCTGTCCTTGTTTCTGTCTAGGCTCTGGGATGTAGGTGCTCTTCCCTGAGGGCGGAAGCGGAAGCTGGTGGGAGGCAGATCCTGCTTCATGGCTCTTCCCAGTCTGGGTGCTGTTTCCCCCCAGAGCTTGGGGCTGGTTACCCAAGTCTGTCCATTTTGGTTCTCATTTTGACCCCACCCTGCGCTCCCTATTATTGGTTTTGTAGCGTTCAACATACGTAGCCCTCGGTCTGCACCTGGAAGCCCAAAGGCTAATATTAAGATTTCATTACTTGATCAATATAAGTGAACGGGTCCTTACATTCAGGAGTGTGACCTCCTGGTTCCTCCCCCAAATCGACATCCAGGTGTTTGCTCTCTGAGGCTCCTAAAAGTCCTAATAAATGTGCTGGGGAGAGGGCTGGGCTGCTGACCGAGGGCGTGAACGTGATGTGATGGATTCAGTGCTATCTCCAATAGTGGTGCTTATCCCTAGAAATATTTCACCCGGGAAGAGTTGGGACTCTACCCAAGAACTCCCCCACATGGCTGTCATTTAATCATTGCCTATTTTTGGTAGTTTCCCAAATACATCTTTGCCAAAGAAAAGCTGGGTTAATGATGCTTTTTGACAATTATGGAATAATATATTTTATTCCCTAGAATATTGTCACACATAATACAATTATGATTCTTACCACCAAAACAATAAAGAATATGAATTTGGGATTCTGCTTTTGAGGCACAGAAAGATGTCTGACAGCTGAAAGTTACGTAGCTCGGGGACAGTGGTAGGACTCAGCCCGTAAGGCAGCTTTCTCATCTGTGCCAGGGAAACTCCAAAATACCCTGCTTTCTTTCATAAGGAGGAGGCATCTCTCTTGGCTTCTCTCCTCCTGGGGTTAGTGTGCCCTTTGTTTGTTTGTTTGTTTGTTTTTTTTTTGGTCTTTTTAAGACAAGGTCTCACTATGCAGTTCAGGCTGACCTTGAGCTCACTTTGTAGCCCAGGCTGGCCTCGAACTCGCAGCGATCCTCCTGCCTCAGCCTCCCTCAGCCTCCCAAGTGCTGGAATTACAGGTGTGCGCCACCACGCCTGGCTTAGTGTCCTCTTTAGCATGTAGGGCAGACAAAGGCAGGAGGCTCCTGCTGAGTGGGCTTGTTGTGGCTGATGTATAACCAGTTGTGTTCCCTTCCAGCCTGGAGGAAGGCACAGCTGTACGCAGGTAAGTGACTCTGACGGTTCCTCTGGCCTGACCTCCCAGCCTCTGCTGTGCTTCTTTCCTACCAGTGCTGCCACCCTAGGATGAGATTGATGTTCTGCTGTCACTGCTGTAGCCTCCATGTGAGGACCACAGGGACTCCCAGCTGGGATTATAGATCTGTCTCCATCTGGCCTCTTTCTGCGCTGTAGGTCAATGCTAGGGTTCGCAGCACCATCTAAAACCCTTGTTCAACCAGTGAGGACTTCCTTTGTGAGGAGAAACTGGATGGAGCAGGGTGACGACTATAGAGCAGGAGTTTCTGGTCCCAGAAGGCTTCAGAAATCGAACTTGACTCCGAACTCAGGTCTTCTTAGAGAGGTTCTTGGTTCTGTATGCCTTGTCCCCTGAGCTGCTCCCCTATTGGCCCAGCTCTCCTGCTTTTCTTATTTCCTCCAGGTCCTCTGGTGTTCTGTTTTTTGTTTTTGTTTTTGTTGACAGGGTCTCACTGTAGCTATCAGGCTGGTCTTGGACTCATTATATGGCTAAGGCTGTGTTCCTCATTATATAGCTAAGGCTCTTGTGTGTTCCTGCTTCTAGAGCCATTCCATTGTTTGTGGCCTATTCTTCCATCTTCCAAACCAGCAAGGCAGCATGACTCACCCTGTTTCTGTGATTATATGTTCCTCTGAGCACAACCAAGGAAAGTCTCTGCTTTCAAAAGTTTATGATTACTTTGGGCCCACCTGGATAGTGCAGGGTCATTTCCTCATCTCAAGAACCTCATTCTCAATCACATTTTAGAAGTCCTCTTCCCAGGTATTTCGCATTTTCACATTTTTTGCAGCTCGGGAGATGGACATACTTGGGGCACTATCATCCTGGGGTTGTCCTGGAAGCTTTCAAGCTCTTTGGGAAATGTTTTGGGGAAGCAAATGCCTGGGTCCATATTACCCACATCTATTGGGATGTTTTTGCTTCCACTGGCCTGTGAAATGGGAAGAGAAGTCATTAATACCTGATCTCTCATGGGGTATATGTATTTCCTGCTTTGAAGCTCTTTCTCTCCCATCCTAGAATCTGCTCCATTGATTCTTAACTGGGCAAGACTTCTGCGACTGTGTATCCTGAGTTCCCTCACTCATGATTTCTAGTCACCTTAAATTTTTAGCTCAGCCCATTCTTCATGAATAAATGGAGGTCTTGAAAATTTGATCCCTGCAATTATATCACAAGAAAGCCGTGGTTTCAGGACGGTTGTGCCTGGGACTTGAGGAAGCATAATCTGATAGTGAAATCTGGGCAGTGGCTTTTCTGCTTAGGGCTGTGTCCAGCGCCTGGATCCCAATACGTTAGGCTCCCCCTTCCCCACTGGGGATGGAACCCAGGGCCTCCACTGAGCTACTTCCCAGTTCTTGTAAAAACAATATTTTATTCTGAGATAGCGTCTTGCTCTTTCTCTAAGTTGCACAAGGTCACCTGTACTCACAGTCCGCTTGCCTCAGCCTCCCAGAGTTGAGACTTTTTAGGCGTATGGTATAGTCTTCATGCTAAGGCTGCTGCAGGATGCGTGTGAGTAAGAAATGTACACCTCACATGAATTTTTCAAACGCGTTTCCCCATTCCTCTCCCAGTACTGTGTTTCAGCGGGTTGGGTGACGTGTACAGTCTCTGTAAATCCCTGACAGGAATTGTATGTTTCTCTTGTAGATTGGCGGAAGGAACAGTTCCAGGCTTGTGAGTGATTTCATGGCTTTTTTTTTGCTTTTCTTGCCATCTCCATGTCTTCTGGCCTCTCTTTGTGTTCTCTCTGGTGATGAAAACTTTGGCACCTTCGTTTGTGCCGGGGTGGGTGGCAGTGGATGATATCAAAGTTGGGGCTGCTTCTCCAGGGCCTTGTGACATATCTGTCCCTCAAGTCAGCATCTGGTTTCTTCTCCTTGGAGCCATGAGCTTGGGTCCCTGGCCCTTATCCCAGGGGGCCTATCCTCCCTCAAGGCCGCCAAGTGGCTCTGACAGGTGTGCGTTGGGGCTGGCTGTGGGCCTTGCTTTGGGGCAGGGAGGGACCTTGTGTGATTGATAACTCTCTCTTCAGTGTCTGTCACCCTGGATCCAGGATCTGCCCACCCCAGCATTGACATCGCACCCGGAAAGACAAGTCTCACCTGGAAGGAACCCGGTGGGAGCGACACCTGCAGTGTGTTGGGCCTCGAGGGCGTCAGAGCGGGAAGGTGTTACTGGGAGGTGGAGATTACGAAGGGAGACAGCAGCGAGTGGACCGAATGGACCGTGGGGGTCTGTAGGGAAGATGTCAAAAGGACAGGCTGGTATAAGGAGTCCCTGGAGAAGGGGTTCTGGGTCGTGGGATGGGGGAAAAGTGGATGTTTCACCTATGTTAAATCTGACACTGTGCTTCCTCTCGAGCAATCTCAGGATGGCCGCAGGGTGGGGGTTTTCCTGGACTATAGCGAAGGGGACGTCTCCTTCTACGACATGACCGATGGGTCCCACATTTTCTCTTTCCCTCCGGCTTCCTTTTCTGGAACTCTCTTTCCATACTTCAGCTTTCTGCGTGGCTCTGTGTCCTTGACCATCTGCTCCCCTGAGAGTGGGTCTTTGGGGCTGCCTGCACCCCTTCACAACCGTCCTTCCGTAAAGGAGACTCTGAGGCCCTCTGGGGAAGGACTCAGCTCAGGCGCTGATGTGGGCGATGTTGCCCCAGGGGTAGAATCCCCACTACTCCCCGGCACCCTGAGGGCTGCGATCCCATAGAGCCCTCACTGTCCTTGAGCGCTCTGGCTTTTCCTAGGTCGGCATACTCCCTGTTGCAAAAGCCGCCGAGCTGCAGCCGGTGCTACAGGAGCTTTAGCTTCCTGCTCTGTATTCAGACTCCCTGCTGTGTGGTTAGGAGCGTTAATCAGCTCTTGTGTGTGTTCAGAGAATAGAAGATAAAAGTTGACTGTTTTCTGAACTGGGTTAGGGTAGGGTGACTTTAACTGTGAGTACTTGTAGATATTAGTAGATAGTAAAAGGCATTTCATGGAGTTTTTCTATTGTTTGTATATGAAAATGGCTGAAGGCTGGATTATCGTGCAATACAAAGGGGAGCTCACTTTATTGCTCTGGAGTATAAGAAGATGGACACAGAGGTTGAGCGTGCTGCCCAGACCTACTTTTGCAGATCTATCTAATAATGAAGGTTTGCTGTCCATACATTTCCAGGGAAATGAATGAGTGATAGACTTTTCAGAAGACAGGACTCCAGTACTCTGTGTTATATGCTTCTCGTGGATGAATACAACACACCTATTTTTCCAAACTTCAGTAAATTTTTGTTACCAGTGAGAAAGTTCTGTATTAACCACTAGACAGTTTACCGTGAGGGTCACTTGGGCAGCTTGTTTATGTACTGACTATCCCGAGTGTCACTTGGGCAGGTGTCATTTCAACCCATTGGTTTGCACGAGATACCCTTGTATGTCTATTTGTTTTATATTAACTATTTTTGCATATTTTAAAAAATTTAGAATGTGTTCACTTTTGTTTTTAGTGAAATCTAATAATAAATTCTGTTTATTTTCTCTTACTAATTCATGTTTAATTTGTGAAAAATAACTGATGAAATCATTTTTGAACATGGAACATTGTCTACCTACAGACAGTTTTGTTTTTTGAGACAAAGTCTTGCTACATAGTTCAAGCTAGCTCTGAACTCACTGCGTAGCCCACACTGGAACTCAAGGCAATCCTCCTGCCTCAGCCTCCTGAGTGCAGCGATTACAGGTATGCTTCATCATGCCCAGTTACTACAGATAATTTTTATACTTCTCCTGAACTCAGTGATATTGTTTCACAATACAAAATGGACACATCTGGGACGCTCAGACTGAATATGAAGTGCAAAAGAAAAACTGAAAAGGGAGAAATGCTAGCATATCAGAGAACTTGCCGTGATCTTCCTGCCTCAGCCTCCACAGTGCTGGGATTATAGGCATGTGCCACCACACCTAGGTGGAGCTTTATTTTGAGACAGAGATTGCTAAATTGCCCGGGCTGGACTTGAACTTTTCATCCTTCGGCCTCAGCCTCATGGGAGGCTGGGATTATAGGTGTGCACCACCATGCCTGGCCTACTAACTTTGTTTTAATTTTTAATGTAACTTGTGGTAATGTCCAGAAGGCCCAGCCAGGCTCACTTTTGGTGAGATAATAAACATTTTTCTAGGCTCACATGATCAGAAGTGTCAGGGTTCCAATAGCTGTGTGTTAAATCATATATGGAATAATCTAGAATGGCTGGCAGTGTGCTAGTGAGCTGGAGGATCTTGTAGCAGTTGAATGTTGAAGACCTGCAAGCTCACTCCAGACATCAGTGTGAGTTTGTATCGGAAAGCTGAGGAGCCTGTGTTGGAGGTTGGAGTCTGCTGGAAGCCTGAAGGAACTGGAGACCACCATTTGAAGGCAATGATGAGGAGTGGCGCTCCTCTGAAGAAAAGACAGCCTTCTTTCTGCTTTCCCTTTTCATTCTATCAGGGCTACAAGCCTATTGGTTAATGCCTCCCACATCTGGGCTGGGTCCTGCCCCTCAGTTTGCCGGCCTTCCTGTCAGTTGTCCACAGACACACCTGGAACACGCTAATCTGTTAGGCTGTTCTTTCACATGTCAAACTGACATATCACTATTAAAGAGTCAGACTGTCCCAATAATTATTTTTGCCCTTATTTCCGGAATCAGCCCCTAACACTCTTAGAATTTCCAGATAGTGGTGAAAGAAGGGCATTTTGTTATGCATAACAAGTGCCTTTCACTCCTTCTGAGTTTATGTTAATGGAGTGACTTTTGGAAAGTTTCTAAATAACCTCTGGGTGGGCCAGGTTGTCCCGGGAAATAGCTTTGTAATTAGAGGGTTTTAATTGAGAAGGAGGATAGGGCTGGAGGCTGAGTTAATTAATTACCAAGGGCCAATGATCTCATCAAAAGTGTCTACATATTTCCAAAACAGTCTTAAAGGACTGGTTTCAAGGAGCTTCTGGGTTGACGAATAAGAATGCAGCCATCTATGGGGACAGATTGTCTGGTGCTTGAGGCTCTTTTAGACCTTAGTCTATGTATACCTTCCTCTCATTATACATTTGTATCATTTATAGTATCTTCTATAATAAACTGGCTAGCAAGCAGTGTATTTCCCTGTGTTTTGTAAGTCATTCAGCAAATTATCCCAGCTGAAGTGGGTGGTGGGTAAGCTGAGTGAAAGGTCCTCATAATTCCTTTGTAGTCGCTGTGGCGCCACCTAGTGGAGACTATGTGCCATGGCCAATATGGCACTGGCCCTTAGAGGCCATGTGCTAAGCCCCACCCTTCTTCCCGGAGTCAAGTTACGACTTCCTACTCCCCTTTATGTAATATCCTGTTACATTTTCCCACACTCATACCCAATGCTAGCCTGCCACGTCAGCTAGCCCACTCCCTAAACCCTGCCTCTAGCCTGACCATATATAATCTTTGTGCTCCTTTGTCCAGCCCAGAAGACTCGCTCCCTTAGCCCCTCCCGCTCCTACCCCGCCTCCCAGCGGCCTTTTCTGTGCCCTTAGACAATAAACGTGTTTTATTGTTTTATTACTCTCTCTGCGCTGCCGGCGGGACACCTTTTACTGAGGACTTGCTGTGATTGGTTTCTGTTGTGCTGAGGGGCAGACTTTTAGGACTGAGTCCTTACCTTTGTGGACTCCATGCAATTCTTAATTGAATTAGAAGACATTCCACTGATGTATGTGGAGAATCAGAGAATTACTTGGTGTGGGAGACCCCACACATTTGTCCTCCAAAGTGCTCTAATGGTATTTTGAGAGTAAAAAAATATTCCATTTAGTTAGCATATTATGAATTCCTTTCAGCCTTCCAATAAGCCACTGTCCTACCGTTTTGTTTTTTTTTTTGTTTGCTTGAAACATGGTTTCGGTATGTAGTCCAGGCTGGCCTTGAACTCAGGGTGATTCTCCTGCTTCAGCCTCCTAAGTGCTGGGATTACAAGTATGTACCTTTTGCCTTTCTTGGCATACAGTGAACTACTAAGCATACTGTTTATCAGAATGTTTTGTGAGCCAGCCTTGCCATTATATCAGTTCCATCATTGATTAATTAAATTTTTTGATTTCTATAATATTATATTTATCCAAGTCATTTAACACTGTGAGAGCTATGCAGTATTTTCTCCTGTTCAAAAGTCTGATTTTATAAAAGTTCTTCATATTGGTTGTAAGGAGGAAATTTTTCATTTTAATTTTAAAAATACTTTCAAAATACTTAGTTTTTGCATGGGGTGGGGCAGACTTTCACTGTGTTACCCAGGCTGGTCTTGAACTCTTGGGCTCAAGTGATCCTCCTCCCTCAGTCTCCCCAGTGCTGGGACTACAGGCATGCCCACCATGTTCAATTTAGGAAATATTTAGACCAGGTAGCTAAAGGCTCCATTTTATTAAGTTGAAAAATAGGAAACACTGAAATATAGGCTATAATGTACCTCACTCTCCCCTGAAGAATTCCTGAGCAGCCGGAAGATAGGAAGACACTTTTCTGGATGACCTTGATAGGCTGGAGTCCAGATCTTCTGTTCTAACTTGAGAGCTCCTTATCCTATTGCCTTGGTCCCTTTTCATTTCACTAACTTGCTCTTCTCCAGAGCTGCGTGCCCGCTATCTTCAATTTTCTCACGGAGTCCTTGGATAATGTTTGTTTTCTTTGCCTTATTCTCTCTATGAATCTGTGATTTTTGCCCACCATCCTTTCCCGTACACCTTTTTGGCCATTTCTCTCACCTCAGTGAAGGGTACACTGGGTGGGGTGCAGAGTCCGTCAGCTCAAGGGTCAGGAGCCTCCAAGGGAAAGTCAGGGGAGTTTGGGGACAGTCATTGTCTATCTTCAGGAGTCATTCTCCCCAGCAGCATTTGCTTCCTGTAACTGGGACCTCTTGGTGTGCTCTCATCTCACAAAGCTCTGGAGAAAAATCCATCTCCTCACCGGTGCTGAGTGAGTTCATGAGCTCTTTCACTTCCCTTGAGTCCCTCATACTTTCCTCCTCTCTCTTTCCTCTGATTTTCCACTTTTAACTAGACACATGTCATTTCCACTGAGGTAGAGGGATGCTCTGATAATCCCATTATGGTCAAGAAAGTTGTCTATGTGCTACCTAGAGCATCCTGTCGGGGAGGAGTAAAGATGTGACTCTCATATTTGGGGAACAATGGGAACATAGTGCTGCTGGATAATTGAAGAAGCTTGTTTGAGCTGAGCGGCATGGCGACGGGCACTCACAGCCCACCTGTTGCTTTGTCAATCTATGCTTGATTAAGCCAGGTCAGAAGGAAGTTGGGTCTCTGGTCCGCTTCCAGTTTCCCTTGGAGCGTTCTCCTGTGACCTAGGGTTTGGCATTTCACCCCAGCCCACACTAAGGAATGTCACAAAGGGTGATCTGATTGGGTGTATGGATGGATATATTGTAGGAATTTTGCTGAGGGTCTTGCTTGCTGTTGAAGTGTTGTTTTACTTTTCTGAGAGATAGTAAGGGCGGGTGTTTCTCTGCAATGTACCTGGAAGTAATGGAGCGGTATCCTGCTGGTGCTCCATGCAGCATGAGCTGTCTCCAGGTCATTGTGGGTATGCCCTTGAAGGGGATTGGGAACCCCTTTCTCTTTCCTCTTTCACTTCCTGGCCGTGATATGGTGCCTCAACCCAAAACATCAGGGTCAGTCCATCATGAACTGAAGCCTCTGTGAGCCAAAATGAACCTTTTCTTTTTATCTTTTTGTTTTCTTCCTCGTATTTATTTATTGACTTACTTCAGACAGAGTCTTGATATGCAGTTCAGGTAGGCCTCAAACTTGTGATGATCCTCCTGCCTCAGCCTTCCAAATATTGTGATCACAATTGTGAGCCAGGACACCCAGCTCAAGAAACCTTTTCTAAGCTGATTTTCTCCCGTATTTCCTATAGTTCTGTAAAGCCGACTAACTCATGTGAAGATAAGGAAATTCAACTTGGAGTTTTCTGCAAAACAACAACAACAAAAGGCAGCCATGTAAATAGAAAATGATCTCTCTTGGTTGAGGGTTCTTCAGCCTTGATTTGAGCATGAAAAGAGAGGTATGAGCCTGAAGGTTTTATGTTCAAGCACCAAGGGCTATTTCAATGTTTAAGGATGCATTTTTGGTTGATCACTGTCCCATTTATACTATTAGGTGCATTACTACACACTTTATGTATTCATGTGTTTAGCTGTTGCCCCTAGCCATAGTATAGAACCTGATGAGTGATATGAAGAATTTTCAGGGGTTGTTTTGACCATGTATAAACTTTTCATCCTCAAGAACTGAACATTTTATGTAAGATGGGACTTCATTGACATGGCTATGAGGAAACTGTATTATTTTTATCTTACCTTCTCCAGTGACCTCTTTATCTGGTTTGTCAGTATTCTTTAAATTGAAATTTAGGCTCTTTCCAGTTGAAATGGAATTATCTTTATTATTTGAGATCTTATCAGACTTTTGTTTATTCCTCTTTTGGTGTCGTTATTTCAGTTGACAGTTAGTGCTGATTATTTGACTGGTGTTTGAGTGTCCTGTAGAACATAAGTTTCAC